TCATCCGTGCGAAAGTCAATGACATCCTCGTACTTAACTACTTCAACTAATTGCGCTTCAATGCTTAATAATGCAAGTGCATTGAGCTCATCTTGCTTCATATCTGCACGTAAATAATTGTTCACTCTTTTCAGGGTGCAAAACGATCTTTCTCCCGAACAATTTGCTGCAGGAATACTTGGATAAATACGTAAAGCGATATACATCACTCGATAGATATCGCAGAGATCACGTGAATTTAAGAATTCATTTATTATAATCTTTATTGACATATCTTGTGGTTGTCAAAACAAGAAATAAATTATTACAATTCAGTGTTACAGTTGTTAAAATCAAAATCGATTTCAAATGTTTACCGCCCCTAAAAATTTGCCGCCTTAGGCTCGGGCCTCGCGGGCCAAATCCTAAATCCGTCTCACTGATGGTATAGTCTCTGTGAACGGTAGTCATATGTAATGCGCTCGATTTACTCGTCTGGAAAGTGAATGTAGTGAATAAAACTTAACATATTTCATTGTTATCCTGTATGTGTTATTTTTTGTAACGTTTTTTGCACTGCGCAGTGCGATAAATGCCTCTATCTGAGTGCTTCTCAAACTTTTGATACTTGCGACCCAATTTTAAGTCATAATTTTCTTCGCACCCCCGCCCCCTTCCAAACAATATAACAATGTATTGAATTCAACAATAATAATGTACCTCGACGTAAATCTACAGTATGAATTTAATTACAAACCGTACAAATTATTAAGATAAGTATTACATTTCTTATATAATTTTATATATGACAAGCCCATGGAGTCAATGGTAATTGTTAAACTTGTTCTTAGATTGGTGTTGTTAAATTAATTACCAAATACAAGTGCAGTACTCATACATTTATAAATATATTATATCGGTATAAATGAGTATTTTATTTTTTATTATGTCAGAATGTATTTTGCTTTGTTTCCTTTCAATAAATTAATATGTTTAAATAATGTTTTATTTTCGACGTTTCGATAGGCTCACGCCTCCTAGAGAGTTTGATGCTTGGTTAATCATGCCCCACAGTTTGAGAAACGCTGCTCTATCTCTCAGTGGTTTTTTGAACTAATTTTTCCCCAGCGGAATCCTACTTCTCATGTCATTATTTGTCTTCATACCAAATTTAAAGGAATTTCGGTTGTTAGATCGAGCTACAGATGACCTTGGATAGTATCAGTTTGAAAAAAAATCACCTTGTATTATTCTAAAATAGTTTATAGGATATAAGCAAAGTACTTCCACCTTTTTGAATTATTTGGAGGAATTATTTTTCACATAGAGTATATGCCATTTGGCTCTGTGCCACACCTCTCTTGATTACAAGCTAGCAATTATTAGAGAAAAAGCATTTACTAACTGGCCCAAGGAAGAATTTTTTCCTCTTCTCAGTTGTCGAAAGCATATGTTTGTGGGCCCGCCGATAGGCAGTCCAAACTCAAATACATATTAAGATAAACATACGCAGCCGAATATCATTTATTGAGTACTCAGAGTGTTTTCAGTTTTTGCTCTTTTTTTTTCAATTCAGTACTAAATCTATAGTTGACTGAATGTGACATTCCTACGCTTTTGTCATGTTCTTAAATTAAATTACATATAGAGGAAAATAAAATGTATTCTAATTAATTCTCCTTTTAATATACACCGAAGTATAATAAACAAAATCGAAAATTACAAATCTAACATAAAGTGTCCCTAAGTTCACGCACATAACTTGGTTAAGTGATGGCAAGCATTTTTTTGAAAATGTGTAGAATTCACGCCCACTATTACATGATTAGGTACCGTGAGCAATTTTACTATTTCACCTTTCACAGTAATTTTTTCATGAACGGGATATTACACAGCCAAGCTATTAATGGTGGTCACAAATAGAGAAAGCAACTTAGTCGACTTAGTTAAAATTAGCGTTGTTTGTTTGAGTCGGAGTTTGAGAAAATGATGTCGCCTAATTTGAATTTCTACAAAAAGAACAATATTCCATGCTACCATTGGAAAGTTATTCAAAAATTGACTCATTTAGTTAGATTTCAAAATGGTACAACACTTGCTTTCTAACTATAAAAATTATTGCGCTTTTCTCCCCTACAAAATGACTTTATTTAAAAAAAACTGAATCCTAAGTACGTAACTCAAAATCTAATCTAATATATATTATAAATGTGAAAGTTTGTGAGTATCTTTGTGGGCCTTTCACGCAAAAACAACTGAATGGATTTTAATGAAACTTTACAGTAATATAGCTTATACATCAGAATAACACATAGGCTAAAATTTATAAAGATATTGTGAGAAGTTTTCAAAATATAACGACAATTGTCAAGAAAGTAGGAAAAAATTCTGCCATTTGCAAAAAAGCCCGTGACAGCATTCATCTATCTTTTTTATCCCTTCTGTTTTGTCTACGCCATACCTCAGTGCGCTTTCGCTTTTATATAATTCATTCCGTTCATCAGTGTCATCACTATTTTTATTTCATAATAAAAGGGAGAGGAGGTGGCAAGATTTTAACATAAAATAAATACAACAAAAAGTAATATTAATGTATTACACTTCCTGAAATAAATTATTTACACTATTTTAAGCGTTCATTACACAAAATCTTTTACTATGACAGTGGAAGGAAAACTATGAAATTAAAATAAAATATCAAAATGTTTTTATCGTTTAGTTTTTTTTTTCTTTTTGAATGTTTTTTTTTCAGTACATGTAAATATATATCTACGCTTCCCCCATATTGTTTTTATATATATGTATATATATATATATATATATGTATATATATATACATATATATATATATATACATATATATATATGTTTTTTAAAAGTATTTCTATTAATTAATTACTAAATTAATTATTTGTTAATTAAAAAAGTACATTGTCTATTATTTTGGATAAAAATACATTTCAGAGACATTTTTAAGCTAACTAAAGAATCATTTTCTTTTTATTGCTTCACATTAATAATTTTTTAACTAATGCTATATTGTTTTTTAAAAGTCATAGATCGAAATTTGAAGCTATATTTTATCTGTGAGGGGAAGAGGAAACAGTAATTTTACACTAAAAAAACCGTGTTATGCCGGGCTAGAGGGAGAGAAAAAAACCTGTCTTAAATCGAAAATATGTGAAACAAATTTTGAAAAAGGGACATTTAATGAAATAATGTTAGAAATCACTCACATTGCGCGCGTACAAACACACACATAATTTTTGGCGTCATGAGGGAAAGAGAAAGCCCGTGCAAAGCCGGGCCATGCAGCTAGTAAGAAATAAATTAATAAATAAAACGTAAGAAAATTTTCGCAATATTTTAATGATTTAAATTTTGAACTGTTTGTCTTCTACACGAATGCAGGCTCTGTATCTTTTTCAATGTGATCAATTAAAGAGTCGTGAAGAATTAACTAAATTTATTTCTTACATTGCTTCAAGAATCCTTTGGCGCTGCTCGGTTATATTTTCAATTGCCTTACAAGTTCCAGACACCCTGTATTTGGGATGTATGATTATGTTCTATTTAATTGTTTTTTTTTCTGAAGTATATCTCTCGTTATCAATTAAGTTTTAATGTGATTCAATTATAGTGAGGCAACGTATCTTGTATAAGAATTTCAATAATACGGAATTGATCGTATGCAACTTACTAGCTTGCAAAATATAGCAAAGCGTTGTAAGATTCTAACAAATTTCTTAGAGCTTCTAAGATATGATGCTTCGTATAACGGGCTTAATTCATGAAGGTCTCATTAAAAAGACAAACACGTGTTCACTATTGAATTCAAGACAGACATAAACTAATTGTGCTTGCTGTTCTATTTCAAATTTTCTAACTGGACAAAAAATATGTTTAAATGTTATAAAAAATTTCTTCAAAAAGAATTTTTAAAAATAAAAAAAAATCGTATTTTATGCAAAAACTTTTAAATAAAATATGCATTTTGTATGTGTAAATGTACTTTTTTAAGAAAGTTTCTACAAAGCGCAAAAGTTGGCAACAAGGACGAACGTGAACTGATTAGCTGGAAACACAAGATAGCTTTTAACGTGTGACTATAACGTAGTGGGAGTTTTTGAACTGATTGGTTAGAATCCTCTGGTTATCATTATCATGTGACTATGACGTCACATGAATTAAGCCCATTAAGTGCATCAAAAACATTCAAGCATTCAGAACGTTTTCGAAAGAATTAGGTTCCTTTGTGAGTTATTATGTGAATATTTGACTCTCATTTATTTAAAAAAAATGTATAGAATTTAAAGGCATGAGTGGGATTCTATAATTAATTTAATATGTAAAAATATAATTACATAATAGGTCAATGAAACGAATAAGAACACAGTATGAGGGTATTTTCATAAAGGAAATAACATTTAGACTTATAAACGTATGCATAGGAGACAAATACTTCGCTTAACCAGAAAGTGGACGAGTCTTTAATCTTTAAGAAGGGGGATGCACACATCAAGCTGAATATTAATAATGGATGCATATGTATCACGTTATCTCGTATGTATTATTAAATGTTGATTAGAGTTATAGCGGATTCTAATCAGCCATTGGAGGTATTTGCTCCATTGTTCCTGTAGCGAAGGGGAGGGCAAACTTTTCGAGAGTACGGGCTGCTTCTAATTTTTTCAGTGTGTTGCTGTCCACCCAGTGGCGTAGGTGCGGTGCTCTAAAAAAAGACCTGCAATATTTTTATTATAACTTTGTAATAAATATGAACATACGCACTTACCTACATTTCTACAATAAAATAAACACACTTATAAGGCTGCGTTTAAAGATAAACACAAGATACAAATATAATAATCACAAATATAACAATATCAAATCATGAATATTTGTTACGATACAATTCTAAATATATTAAAAAACAAGGAAAAATAAAAAAAAAAGTAAAGTCAGTTCCTGCAAAATTAATTATTCTAATAAAATAGAAATCACATTCTCAGAAATTATGTCATCCCAGATGGGACTCGAGCCCACGACCTTTTGATTTGAAATCCAAAGCGCCATCCATTGCGCTACAGAGACACGACAAACTTTTTTCCTTTTTATATATACTACTGAACTATTATTTTTGTTTGTTACCATTTATTCATTTTTTAAATTTAATTAATGAGTTGATATCTGAAAAAAAGTGTTTTAACATCAAGTGTCCTCCACTACAAGTTTAAAAATATTTATTTGAACTTAAATGGATGAATAGAAAGTATTTTATTAACGATTGAAAATTTAAGCAAAAAAGATATATATATATATATATATATATATATATATATATATATATATATATTTATATATATATATATTTTTTTTTTGACAATCAACCAATTCAAATTTTACCATATTTGATTGTCGTCATTTTATACTTGTCTTTTCTGGCTGGTTTAAAAGTCAGCTCAAAAGATGTGGTTATGTATTTTCGAATTTTTTAACTTAGTGAATAATTGACTTTCATTAATGGCAAGATGCTTATTTCTCTTCGTAAAAGCTTTGTGAGTAAAGAAATTTTGTTAAATTAATTTTTGAATGATACTTTTCTTATGTAATTGTTTTAGCATTTTTCTACTTTTCTTACATAATTATTTTGTGATTTTTCTGCATTAAGAGTTTTGGGAGAGTTTGTTACATAATAGTAGTGATTGGTTTTATCATGCTCTCTGAGTTATCCATACTCTGAAGTTTTGTTTATTTTATTTTATTTGGTTTTCCTACCGAGTTGCAAAGGGGGAAGGTTGGCGCCTTTAAACTAGTTTAACCCCACTTATTCGGTCCTAAGTCCGAAATTGCTTTCTGACTCACTAGGTTCTGCTTTTTTGTAGTTCTTTTATTTCTCTATAATTTTGTTCTTCATGTTCTGCTTTTATATTTTTATTATGCTATTTTTTGTTATGTTCTGTATCTATTATTTCTTGTTTTTGATAAATATTACATATTTCTTTTATATATATATGTAGGATTTTCCCTTTGAAACATTTGTAAAAAGGTTGAGTCATATCCTTTTCAGAGGACCATAAATCTCAATTTTATTTATTACTGCATTCCGAAGCAGCGCCATCTAGTGAGCTTTCGTAGCTCCGGCTTGAATAATTTTTCGGCAGAGGCCAACTAACTACTGCTTGATGAACACGTCGCGTCTTTACCGCATTTCCGCGCCCAGCGCGGCACCACCAGTCCTAACATCCAATAATGAGAAAGGTTTATTTCCCCGTCTTCTAAAGGTATTACTCAACTTTTAATTAACTTAATTCCTGCATGTCTTTCTCTTTATAATTATCTTTTTTTGTAAATATTTTCCTTTAACTTTAAATAAATTCTCTTTTTTACTTAAAAGAAGTATTTGTGTTTAAATGACTTAGATTCATTTAATTCATCACTCACCCTTAAACACTTACCCCTAGACAAACCACCTCGCCAATCTAAAATCCCGCCTTCTGAAGAGTCTGATTTTTATTCGAAGATTTATTCGGACTCCCATATATATATATATATATATATATATATATATATATATATATATATATATATATATATATATATATATATATAGGGAGAGAGTGAACTAATAGTAGGAAATGAATAAAACATTTTTATCGGAGTGCTCATAGTTATAGTCAGTAGAAGATCTAATCTGCATACTGTCAGCCAATCTTGAATATTTCGGTATATATTTACTAATTGCTAATCTTCTGGCGGTCACCTCAAAATGGCTTGGCAGTCCACCAGTCAACCACGATCGACTTAATGCCCAACCCCTGCTGTAGCACAATACTTATAGTTGGTTTCTTAGTGTCAAATAGAATTTTTACAAGTTTTTATTTAACTTAAAATGTAAATTGTTCGGGTGGAATCTTGCAACTCAGTTTTGAAGCTGATGTCTTCAACCGACTGAGCTGAAATTTTATATACACGTTTAGTCTAGATGACAATGCATGTTTTGACCATTTATATTCCGATATAGGAATTAGTTAAAAAGATATTAATTAAAAACCTTTTACCCTGTTAGCTTTTTATTCTGCCGAGCAGCTTATCGGATTTAGCTTAAAAAAAGTTCCGATTTTTTGACTTTTTTTAAGAACCAGCTTATTCTTTCTATCAAACTGAGACAAAAAAAAATTACATAATCGGAAAGATTTTTTATTTCGCCACGATACAGTATAATTCTTTTTAAAAAAATAACGATATTTTCTATTTTTTACGATTTTTTCTAAAGTGTGTCAAAATCGATGCGTTTTCATGAAAATGATTTCTAAATCGTCCCGTATGAATTTTTTGTTGTTCGTGTTAATGACTCGATATTCCTCCCTAAGAAAGTTTAGGCTTTTCTCTTTTAGAATCAGTCTTTTAAAAAATAAAATACCAAAAACTTTTTGCTATCAACTTATAACGTCATTACACAATTTATAATATAAAAGATTGTCGCGAGATTTACCTGTGTAGATAAACAAGCAAATTAAATAACTTGATCCGATAGATTTTAATTTTTAAAATTTTCAAATTAAGTAAATACGAATACTTAAGTCTCGAGACAAGCTTTTATATTATAAATTGTGTAATGGATCTATAAGTTGATAGCAAAAATAGTTTTAAAAGAAAAGTTTATTTATTCTTCTTAGAGCATTTAAATTAAAGCTTTTTTTAAAAAATGTTTTTTTAGTTTTGATTTATTACTTAATGAGTTGTATTGAAAACAGATGGTATGAGCAAGTAAAGTTAGAGGTTTTTTTTGAAGGGGAGGGTTGCTTATATATATAAAAAATAGGAAGATCCAGTATCTATGCGAATGTTTAAGCAAAGAACACTTATGTTTTCTAAGGCACATTAGAATAAGTAATCTATTTTGCATCATAATGTACAGAATATAAATCTTAATGTTTCCCACAGTTAATTATTTGCTACAACCTAACAGCATTTGAATAATTCATTTAAGAACATGAGAAACATTAAGATTTCATTCTATGTTTCTGTCGTAAATATAAATGTATAGAGTGGCACACACAAGAAAGGGGGTCCTGGGGTCCACCCCCCAAAGCCCTTGCTTTTTTCCGATTGATTATAATTCTAAGTAAATAGTAGGTAAATTTAATTAATTACTTATTATTAATGATTAATTTTATTAATTAATGCTAATTATTTATCCAAAAATTAGTTTTTTACTGTGTTTTGTTCCCGAAAATCGACAAATCAAAAGGAGCATGATACAAAAATGGTGGACTTTCGACCCGGATCCCCCCCCTTAAAAAATTCCTGTGTGCGCCACTGTATATATATTTATTTTTTAAATTATATAAAAGTAATTTAATTTTTTAATGGTTTCGAATGCCAGTCAGTAATTTGGAGAGGGATTCCACAGATTCAATTTTTTTGCATATATATATATATATATATATATATATATATATAATTTCTTTGAATTTATATTAATTTCACATAGTGTGAAAACATTTTTATAATTTTATACTTTTCCCAATTTTAGTTGGTTTTTTTTTAAGAAAACTCAAGAAAGTGTGAAAAGTAAATATATGAAGAAATTAGCAAGATAATTTCCTAAAGAAAGAAAATTATCAGAATTTTTTTATGACTGACTGAATAATTAAAGGAACCAAGAGATTACGTTGAATATTTTAAATGAGGTATAGATACTTCATCTTTTTTTTTTTTTATCGAAGTAATATTCGATGGCGAACTATATATTTTTTACATAGCAACACATAAATAGGATTTAACTAAAAGCTGGAGACATAATAGGAAGTTGGCGATGAAATTTGGCGACAGTAACAAACTGACTGTTTTAGATTCAAAACTTGAAATCGATTAGAAGCAATAGTCCAACTCAGATTAGGTTATTTGTGCTAGTATTTGCAATTATGCTTTCGTTTTCCTGTATTAAATGATGACGAGATTTTTTCAATTTCTACTATTAGCGCTCTCTCTCTCTCTCTCTCTCTCTCTCTCTCTCTCTCTCTATATATATATATATATATATATATATATATGTATGTCTTGTTAAAATATTCAATCGTTAATAAAATACAGTAGGACCGCACGCTATATAACGAAGTCACTAAATCCCGGAAAAAAGTTTGTTATATGGAAAATTCGTTATATAGAGCTTCATCTTTTAATATACTTTATAAACGACATAAAACAAATTTTAAATTCATGAAGACTATATATTAAAAAATAATTACTCACCCCTTTTTTAAAATTAATATATGTTTATTTGATACATCTAACCCATCAAAAAAGAGAGAAAGAAAGAAAACCTGCAAGGGAAACAAGAAAAAAAAAAAGGTGGAAGAATTTACTGTATTTTCAATATTAAGAAAATAATTTTATACTAAACTTAATGAATTTTAAGGACATTTTATAATTTAAAGCATACAAGTAATATTAAACATAACGTTATTTTATAATTAGATAATAACAACTCCACTGAGGGTGAAAGAGGAGGATATCGAAGATATTTCTAATGAACTGGGCAAAGAAATCGTTGGAGAAAATTTAAATTTAATTTTTTTAAAAACTAAACATGAATTTCGAAGGCTTTTTTCTCCGAATTGACTGGCCATTCGGCGGAATTACATTGAGGATTGAACACCCTAAAGGGGGGAATACTACTATTACACCAAGTCTCTACCCTAAATGAATTTCCTTAGTCGTGCCCTCTCCTTGTAAGTAAATCTAAAAACCACAGAAAATTTTACATATCTCCATTTTATCAAAAAAAAAAAAAAAGTTGCCGTAAGTAGTCAGATACCTTAAGGAAATCACCTTACAGAGTTCTTCCGTGAATTGATCCTCTCCCTTAGGTTTTTAATGAAATCCCTAATTTAATCATTTCTCTGTGACATATATACCACGACCTAGATGTTTAGTACAAAATGACTCAATTTGAGAAACAGAAATGAATAACAAATGGAAAAATATTTATTCATCGTAAAACCCTAAACAGTGGAAATAATTCAGAATTTTAGTAATTACAAATTAATAAATATGTTATTATTTTTAACTATATTTATTTGTTGAAG